GGTCAGAACCCCCTCCTGCACCCAAACTCCCTCCCAGACCCTGCACCCACTCCTTCACCCCAATCCCCTGCTTTGTTATCAAGGAAGACTGGCACCCAGCAGAAGAGGTAGGAGGTTTGCATGAGGGGGATTCGGAGTCTGATACAAAGCCAGGGTGAGGTTCTCATAAGCACATAATCCACCACAGCACAGGTGTAGTTATTGTGTCGTCTCGGGTATGCAATGCTCCTGGCACTCCGTGGTTCAGAAGGGCAGAGACCACTCAGCCCCCAGGGAGCACACATATTGTACAGTGACATTGCATTACTGTGACCCCCTGCCAGGATACTGGCCTTATTCAGAGCCTCACTTGAGGGACTGTCACGTCACTGCAGGCTCTGTAGCAAATGCATTTTAACAAACCCAAATCTGAATGCAAGTGTTTGCAGGAGAGATGGGTCCAAACTTAGTTGTATGTCAGTAACATCTGTAGGCCCCAACTGAGATCAGGTCCTCATTGTGCTAGGGGTGCTGTACAAATGCAGGGGGTGTGCCGACATTGCAATCAGAAGCGTGATTGCAGCTCTGCTAGCTTTAATCTAGCTACCCTAGCTAAGTATATCACTGAAGATGCAACAGCATGGACCCAGCATGGTTTAACACCACAGCTACATACCCAGGCTGTGGGCAGTCTGGTACAGTCCTCGCTGAAGCCCCTAGATTCTATTTGCATTAAAAGTATTGGTGAGTAGTAATAACTTTAATATGTTCAATTATTATTAGTTGATAAATTTTAACTCTATAAGTAGTCTTGCGTGTGATGCGGCTTTTGAAATATTTTGGTCAAAGACAAAAACAAAAAAATGGCTCTTCTTTGAAAGGTTGCCAACCCCTGAGTGAGGGTCTGCATGGGGACGGGGACGCTCCCTAACAGTCCCTCCTCTCTCTTCCATACTTTTCCCACCCATACCCAACAACCCTTCAAGTTCATACCCAGACTTCTTCCCAGCAATTACTTCCCTCTCCCTCAGCTCCCCCGTTACCCCTGACTCTCCCAAGCCTTTGCACTGCTTCTGAGGGGTGTGGGAAATACGGTTCTGTTCTGTAGTTTAAATGAATTATTACTCAGAGTTCTGTATTAATATGCCTAGTAAGGAATCTGTTTGTCAAAAAACATGCCCTGAATCTTTTTTGTTGTCTGTATTGTTACAGACATACTTGCTGACAGGTATTTTGAAATAAATGACCAAATATAATTGAAACTGGTGGGATTATATTGTGTTATGCAGAATTTTAAAATATTGTGTGCAGAATTTTTAATTTTTTGGCGCAGAATCCCCCAGGAGTAATATAATATACACATTAATATCATAAGTACTAAATAAATGCATTGTGTATACCATAGTGATGACTCCTGTCTCACAAGCTGGTTGGGCATGGCTCCCTGCTCTGGGTATTGCGATCTCCAGGGTTGAGCCCTGATGGGGATCTGGCCAGGCCGAATTTGTGAGAGTGGCACTGTGACTTGATGCATAGAGACACAGAACCACTCACTCAAATTTGGCCTGGCTCTTTCCCTGTCATCAGGATGGAAGGGTGGCTGGGCTAAACCTGATCATCACTGTGACTCCATGCTCCAGGTCACAAAGCCCAGAACGGGGAGCCAACCCTAGCCACCCCACAGGACCAGAGCCACAGGAGCCGCTGCTGTGGGGTGAGTGTGAGGTGGGCTCTGTAACATCCTCCTTTCCCTCTGGCCTCCCACATGACCCTTTGATACATTGTTCAACCCAGTTTTGAGTAACAACTCATGCGTTAAGAAACCCCGGTCTAAGAAACGCAGCTATAGTATGTACTTACTGACTGATTCAAGGTTCTCCCTTTAAACTGGGACATGAGTTCCAGCTGAAGATCGGACTAAGGCTACGTCTTCACTACCTGCCTGAATCGGCGGGTAGAAATCGATCTCTTGGGGATTGAATTATCGTGTCTCGACGCGACAATCGATCCCCGAATCGACGCTTGTACTCCACCAGCGCAGGTAGGAGTAAGCGCCGTCGATGGAGCCACGGAGGTCGATTTGCCGCCGTCCTCACAGCGGGGTAAGTCGGCTCGGATACGTCGAATTCAGCTACGCTATTTGCGTAGCTGAATTTGCGTATCTTAAATCGACGAACCCCCCCCCCCCCCCCTGTAGTGAGGATGTAGCCTAAGTAAGATTGTAAAGTTTAGCACATAGTTGGCGTGTGTAGTTAGCAAAGTGCAAAGAAGGCACATTCACACAGCAAGTGGATGCTGCATTAACTTCTCAGTTTTAGTACTTATTATATATTCTCTGAAATTTTTATACCCCCAAAACACTATAAAGGGGAATTCCAAAACTTGACCTGCCAATCCCTCTATCAGTGAAAATAACTTTGGATTCTAAACATTTTTGGCTGTATTTTTTTTTTAAGTACATGAGTTCAACACTTAAAAAATATAAAAAGGTGAGTTCCCTCTGCAGGCTTTACAGTAGTGGTTTGAATCAAATTCTTTTCCAAAGCTATGTTCGTTCCCGGTGACATCATTGATGCTGGTGCATAAACGAGGAGGTAATAAAAAATAATATTGTCACCTTCATCAGACTCAGTGAAGAAGAGACAGTATATTCCTTAAGGGAAAAAGTGATGCAATTTCTCCATAGATGTTTTTTTCAGCCTCCCCAGGAAGTATAACAAAAACTTGAATGCAAAATGTTAAACTGTTAAAAAGTGGTGGCTTAATTGACCTTGAGTCACTCATTGTTTGTAACTCTTCAGTGTTCTGCCTTTGGCTTTGGGGTGCTGTTGTCACTCTACAGCACCAGGTTTGATCTTCTCTTGTTTTCTGCTTCTTTTAGATTCTTGCCTCCATTGAGCTTCTGGCTCGGTCATTGCCAAAAATTCACCGCAGTGCATCTGAGCCCTCATTAAACCGGGCTGGCTTCCAGACGGAGGATTTTAGTCTGTATACTTGTGCTTCTCCAAAAACACCCATCCAGGCAGGGGGATACGGTGGGTTTCCAGTACACTGAAAAGGCGTTAAAAGCATGTGCCTGTGTGAGTGCTGGTCTGTTCCCATGTGTGCATGCACAAGTGTGCGTATGTTCTGAATTCCTACCTGCTGTTCTCTTTAGAGGTGCACTGAGGGAGTAAACACTCACGTGTTAGGAGCGTGGGCATTGTATGTTCCTGGCATGAAGACTGTTGCTGGCAATGGATGCCCTGGGAATTGCCAGCACAAAAGGATTAAAAGGTTATCTAAGAGAAAAGGGAAAAGTCACTTCAGACAAAACAAAAAAGCCTGTTTGGGTTACTGGGTCATACCTTGCATTTCCTTTGCTTTCTATGCCTTCTTTCCTTACTTTGCTGGTTGGGTTAGTTGTGGGCGGTGTCTTAATGTTTAAATAATCAAACTATATATTTTTTTCAATTGAATTGTCCGTATCCATGAGCAACAGGTTTTAGCTTCTCAAATTAGTGGTGAAGATGGCAAAAAGAGCTTAGCTTCAAAGCTGAGCACAGCCAAAACTTGGTGTAGTCAGCAAAGATGAGCAAACACAACACAGATTGCAAAGGAAGGCTTTGGCAGTGTGTGACTTTTATTTTTAAATGTATGGTTTAAAAGAGTGCTGGTTGGAAAATAGCTTTTACCAGAGACGGTATCTGTTTTTTTGTCTAAATGGTCTGATCAGTTCTACTTTAAAACCTTTTACAAATCTCTCATATCGTTGCAACGTAGAACAAACTTCAGATGTCTGGTGTTGCTTCTGAACAGCACATGTATCACGAATAATCATCCCCGTATCCTGCAAATTAGAAGGAGCCTTATTTTAAGAAACTTGACGACTCTGGAGAACATAACCAAACGTGTGTCTGCTATGCAATAATATGTTAACACCCATAATAGGAAAAACCTATTTTGTAGAAACAAAGCAGTAAACTTGAAAAGTTGTTTTCAGTGGGAAATCAATATTGTACCATGAATTTCAGTTTTAAAAAATGGTTTGCTATTATTTCACTACTTTATTTTAGTTAGTAATGTTGCCGAAGTAGTCTCTTTTCTGTGGGGAGAATTTTTTACTTTTGTATAGAAGCTACTGGGTTGACTGTAAGTACCTAGCAAGGCAAACTAGAAACCCTGCTAAGATCATAATGTCAGCTCACACCCTATTTTTCTCTTTTTTTGGATTATTCATCTGGAACAGGTAAATGACAGAGTAGTCCTATCTGTTTCACGTTACACTGACCTCTAGTGGCAGACATTAAAACAGTAACATTTTCAATGTGCATTGTCATATTCCTGTCCTATTTGAACTGTGTTCTTGTATATTTTACAGTTCTTTTAAATATTAAGCTATTTACTGTGAACAGTTTCTCTCCACCAGAAACAAGATTTTGCTATTCTGGTTGGGCCTTCAAGGAAAGGAAAATATTTCCTAATGGCTTCTGGTTTATAATTCATAGAGAAGTTTGCAGTGGTGCTGCCAGGATATCTTACTGTTAAATGCGGGGGAACAGAAAAAAGCTTTCCTGCATGCCAGACCCTGCTGTAGGAGTAGAGTGGCTAGCCATGTGGTCACAGATCCTTGTAATGCAGTAGTTGGTAGCTGAGGGCTTGAAGTGGCATGAGCAATTCCTATATTCCAGAGGCTGACAATAATCGCCTAGCCCCTCTAATAGTCACCCTGGTTCCTTTCTATCCACCTGCTGGAATAGTAACAGAACAAACCCGCCCCCCACCCCATTTCGTAAGATAAGGAACTCCAATTGTAAATTGTGGTTTTATTAAGAGTTAGGTTTAGGATTAAAAGCTTTTATTTTTTTAAACATTTTTACTGTTGTTTTGTCAAAGTTTGGGTAATTTTAGTTCATCATGGCAGACCTATCTTAAAACCAGAGTTTAAAAGTTTTTTTTTCTCTTGCCCATGAAATTCCCTACTTCAGAGAGTCAAGAAAAGTGCCTCTTATGCTTTGGGAAAGGGCACTCAGCTGACGGTTACGATGCCTCCCCAGGTGCAAGTAGTATGGCTGCTATGCCTCTCTTGCTGTCAAAACAAGATATGATGCAGAATCCCAGGCAGAAAGGGCTTATCCTCTCCTGGGTTCGTCCTCTTGTAAAATTATCCTGCAAGGAACCGTCAAAATGGTTTCCCTCAGCTAAGGGTGCAGAGTAAGCAGACTCAAGAGGCATCTTGATAAGAAAAAAGGTGCTCTGACAAGGATCCCTCAGTCAGATTTGTTTCTGCTTCCCTGGATCTCGGAGAAAAGTAGAACTTGTTTGGATCTGGGCCAGCTGGATCAGTCATCCACATCGGGGCACCCTTCCATGTCATCTAAGTACCAGGAGCCAATAACCTTTGAAGGCTCTAGTGGTGGGGCTGTCAGAGAACACAGAGCCATCATCACTGCCCAGCCCCAGCTTACTCCGTCTTACAGTCGGTCAGATCTGGTCAAGATATTCTTTGGAGCAGTCTTCCCCTCAGTGCTGTGCAGATGAGCCTTTGATGCCGTGGGAACCACAGTTCTGGAAAAACCCAGTATCATACTCAGATATATGGGGCCCACGTTTCCTGCTATATCTAAGCTGAGTGCAGTGGACTTCTTGGAACCAAAAAAAAAAGGGGGGTTACTTGCCATTCTGCTGCAGTTCCACCTCAAGGGGAGCCCTGTATGGGCACAGGAACATCCTTGGAGCCTCAGGTGTCAGGTTGGGAAGCTCCAAAGTTTAAATCTTACCCAGACTTCCCTCCTGAACACACTTCGGGGATTTTTACCCTATGGTCTTCCACCACCTGTGTCAGAGGTCTCTTCAGCGAGGAGTGGTAACAAGAGACCATGGTTTCCTACTCTCCCAAAAAATCTCCTGAGAAGGTCAAGGATTTAGCAGGGATCCCTCTGCCATCTCCACCTGAATTCACTAATTTTCCTGATACGAAATCAAGTCCTCAGAAATATAACTGTCTACCTCATCCTCTGATGAGACCGTCTTAACTGCTTCCTCCTCTCCTCCAAGTAATATCAGGGCCTTCTGTGATTCCCATCACCTATCCTGGACCTATGCAAAGAGAGGGGGAAAAAAAGCTCCAGAAAGTCTAATTTTGCATGGTTTCTTTGGGGTGAACCCAGTCCCTATTCTCAATCCCCAGGATTGATTATGGGTCCTTATCCTTTCAAGATGCCTACTTCTTTATCTTTTTAAGGCAAAAGTACAGTGACTACCTTAGGTTTATGGGGGAAAACAACCTGTACAAGGTAGCAGCCTGCAGGGTATTCACCAAGTAACTAATAGTGACTACAGCTCATCTATGTTGACAAGATTTACAAGTGTATCTGTATCTGGATAACTGGTTCATTAGAGCCCAGTCTTACTGTGAAATAGTTTATTCCCAGTGAGACTTGCTCCTTCTTCAGATCTCTTTGTCTGAGACTAAACAAAGTGAAATCAAACTTGGTCCCTGGGCAGGCTCTAATCTTCATAGGGGCCCAGCCTAAATTCTACAAGAGTTCTAGCTTGCCTATCCCAGACAGTGAGCCTAGCCATGTCCATGCTAGATGGTCCTGTGAGATTTTATCTGTATGCATGAGGCCTGATGGAGACCTGCACCTGTGTCAGCGCCCTTTGCAAGTATACAAATGTGACCCAGGTAGAGGTAGCTGCAGCTGGTGTAGAAATATTTTCATCTCGGTGGATCAGATACTCACTACTGCTGTGGATACTGCCAGTGTGCATCTCGAAGGCCAGGGGATGCCCTTCCCTTAGCTTGCTTCTCAGACAGTGTTGTATCAAATCTGGGTTAAGGAGCACATCGAGGATCTTGGAGCTGTGAATAGTCTTTGGAAACCTCAAGAGTCCAGAGTCCACATAAATTTGCTAGAGCTGAAGATCCATAAGTTGGATCGCAAATCCTTTCTCCCAGAGATGAGGAGCAGCTAGTACAGACCATATGAATGTGATTTATTATATGGACATACATGGGAGAACTTGGTCGCCTCTTATTAGAGCAGTTTTTGGAAATTGTGCATTTGAAACAAAGTGGGTCCATCTGCTCTGCACCTAACAAGTATGAAAATGCCTTAGCCAACTACTTGAGACAAATGGGGACCATCATAAGTGGTCATTCAAATAATCTATGGCATTTGGAAATTGAGTTGTTTGCTGAAAGTCAAAACAAGTGTCAGATGTTCTGATTGAGAGAAGGCAGAAATCCAAAAATCAGATATTTTTCTTACGTGCTGAGGGAAAAATTCTCTTACTTGTTTCCTCTCGCATCCAGAGCTTTGCATAAGGTTCAGCATGACAGAACCAGACTGACCCTATTCACGCTGGGCTGGGCACAGCAGACTTGTTCTCAGAGTTTATGGCACTGTCTGAAGATCATCCATTCAGTCTTCCTCAGAGTCAAGATCTCTTGTCCCAGCAGAACAGCTGGCTAGTGAACATCTCAAGTTACTTCATATGACAGCATGTTTGGTGGGTTTCAAGAACCAGAGGTCTGTGCTTGTCAAGTCAGTCATTCTACAGATAGAGGTTGGGGGGGCTGGGGGTATAGATCGGCTGAGGCAAGGTTTTTATATCCTCAGCATATGAAATGTTGGGATAAGGGAATTTGCTCTTAACTGCCAACTATTGCTCAACAGAGTTCTGTGGCCATAGGGCTGGACACATGACTCTTGCAGCATGGCTGTGTGGAGCCAATGCACTTGCAGAACAAGAGCTTTTGTTGGCAAGTAGACTTTTATATGTATGTATGTATGTAGTCAGTCTTATCAAATTTTAGAAGAAAATTACCTTGATTATCTACCACTACAGGGCCAGCATGTTATCTGCACTAAATTTGTCAACCATTCAGTTAAGATTTATTATCTGAGATCAGGCTAGCACCTGAATGTTAATAAGGATAGACTTAAATCAGCTTGTTATAAATGTCACTTTACTAAGATGTAGATGTAGACAGACTGAAAAATGACTGACAATATTGACCTGTTTGCATCTTCTATGCATCATATCAGTCACTAGATGAAATACTTTGACCTCCTAGCTCTGTTCTCCTGCCCATTCATATTAGTAGTTCATCTTTCATCTTCTGAAGTCCCTTAGCAACAATTAAAAACTGAACTATTAGCTGAAACAGGCACAAGATGAGTAAAGAGGGAGCAATCTCTTGTTTATAAATTAATCTTTAATCAGCCGTTTAGGAAAGTAGACTGAAAAGCAAATTAAATAGAACATGTTTAGACAGTTTGGCCTGTTAACCTCAAAGAGGCAATATTGTAACCTTTTGTCTTTTTTCCCTTTCAAAAAAAGTACAAAAACACGAGGTCATGAGTTTTACTAAAAGATGTGGTATATATGCCAGAGAGAGGCAAGGATAACATTAAATATATTGAGTGTTTGAGAGCAAGGGTTTCATCTGTTGTTAGGTTAAACGAGTATTAACACAGTAAACTGAGCACATGGATAAAACACTTCATTTAACAGGATTATCTTTCAGTTACATACAATAGAGTACTGGAGCTGTCAGAGAGCATACTTTTACTTGCAAGTTGCATGTGTGACTTTCGCATATTACAGGGACGCTAAACCTGTTCAAGCCCCAAATTTGACTAATTTTAAAATGGTGAGGCATTCTCCAGACAGTTCTCTTCCTGTGCTCCCTCTACCCCATACCTTAAATCAACAACTGTGATGCTGGAAGATTTAAAGTGAGGAAAATGAACATTGCTTTGGTATAATGTCCCTACTGCTGCTCTCAGGATGAAATTCATCCTTGTGCAGAGGGCTAGTGCAAGGCTGATTATGCACTCCTCACATCCCAGTTAAGCCTTCAAAATAAGGCTTAAATGTGGCTTAAGCAGTGCAGTGAACTTGGGCTGGCCCCTCTGCTCCTGGATAAATTTCATCCTCCAAGCTTATCACTATTCTGGTGTTCTCTTTAATGCTGATTCCCAGCAAGATATAAACAAATAGAAGTTGTATTGGATTTTTGCCAAATGAAGGATGACAAAAGTGCTACTGAAGGAATTATGTTTGAGCTTGCAAAAGGATAGTCTGGAAAAAGCTACAAAAACAACAAGGAGTCTGGTGGCACCTTAAAGACTAACAGATTTATTTGGGCATCAGCTTTCGTGGGT